TTATTTGAAAGCATGTCAATGGTTTTGTCAAAGGTGGTGAAACCTGGTTTAAATGCACGAATTCCTGGAAGTATATATTAATATACTGTATATATATATACTAAAATTCAAATGATCTTCAATGTTAACTATTAAGTGTGGATGAAAATATTTTCAAATCGGAATATTGATTTTTTACATAGCATTTTTGCTATTGCAACTTCCACTTCATCAGATCAGTGATAATAATAGAAATTCATTATTGTCCTTGGAGTAATTTGTCTTAGGCAACTTATCTGGAATCCATTGAAACATATTACTTTCCAAATTAATTCAATCCTACTTATATACATATACACACATTTTATTTAATTTAACTTTTTTTTTGCTATATATTATAAATAATATTTATGAATATTTTATTAGAAGATTAATAAGATATTGTATTAAAAAAATACCTTTAATATATAATATTGTGAGAATAGTACAGTGAACCTTTCATAAAACGGATTTATCCAAGTGTTATCCAATCGTGTGTTAGACATGTGACCTAGCCATTAATTTTACTTTCCACTAATACTAATTAGATAAAAATAATTTTTTTGACCAATTAATCAATCAGATAATTATATTAATATTAATATTTCAAAACCTTGCTCATAAAAGTAGAGACAGAAAGTTAATGTAAAATTATTACTTTAGAAATAATTCTGTCTTTATTTGTGTGCTTGCAGAATCACAAGGAGACAGTGGTTTTTTAATACATGTTTGTAAACATTTTATATGTTTAATGGGCACTATGAATTCAAGCAGATTCAACTTTATATAAATCACAAATCATTGAACTTTGAAAAATAAAATCAAAGTCTAAAAAAACAAAAGTTCCTGAAATAAATTCAAAACCTCAACATACTATCACATTTAGTAGGATTATTAGATCAAGTAAAAAAGACAATGAGGAGGATCATCACAATTAACAACACAAATGAAAGTATAAATGCTAAATACACAACAAATAATAATAATGGTAAATCAAAAATAAGTTCGATATCAACAAAGCAAAAATTAAAAGCCAATGAATAATCACAGACTAGAAATTTTAATAAAAAACAATATCTTTTTATAAAATAACATAATTTGAGATCTAGGAAAAGAAAACTAGAAATATGGGTAAAAAATTTTTTTTTTGCAATCAAGGATTGATTGATTAATTGATTAATATAATAATTATTTATTAACAATGAATTAGGAACCAAAACTTCAACCATATGATGTTATGGAAGTTATGAAATTACCTAAAGAATTTCCAGATAATTATTGGCAATTTCATGATAATAGTGGTCATGGAATGATAAATTATATAAACAAACAAAATCCACTTGAATTATTTAATGTAAAAGCAACAGGCTATGGTAACTATGTTTATTAATGGTATAAAGATAACATTAATTAATTACTAAAGATCACTCATTATATAATACAAAGACCCTATTAGTGGTATGATTCTTTCACCTGATGGCACAATGCTTGCTTCATTTGGTGATTTTGTAGTTATTAAATTATGAGATACCACAGAATCAACAATGCTTCAAACAATAAGAGTACTGAAATAAGAATTTGAGTTTGGGCAGAGGGAACTTTTTAGGAAAAAAAATCCAATGATTTTTTTTTAAAGGAAAATTATTATCTAGCAAAATTTTATTTTAATGGTATAATCAGAAAAAAAAACATCAAGGGATAGTATGTTGGGAGGTTTGAACCTATTCATACACATTTGATTGCTGGTGGAAAATTAAAAGATTGACACAAATGGGAATATAAAGAGTAAGGATAATTATATATTGCCAAATCCATTAAAGGTTAACATTAATATATTTATATAATAAAAAAAATAATGATTTATTAATTTTTTCAATGTTGTATACATATATTTATTTATATATTTATATACATTATGTTAGATTTTTGATGAAAATGTACTGATAAACTTGAAGGCTATAATTGAAGAAGTATTATCAATTAAAAGTGTTACATTTAAAGAAGAAAATTATTACATAGGTTCAAGCCAAGATGGAAATTTATTAAATGTAAGATGGAGGATAATTGGATGTAAGTAGCCATCAATTGATCAATTATTAAATTAAATTAAATTGATTAGTTATTAATAATTGATTATGTTAAAAAAATTTTTTTAGTACATTAAAGAAAAAGAATGCATTGATGATGGTGATAATGATATGGTGTTTCATTTCTTTCGAATAGATGATACAGTTAAATTATATTATTTTGAAACAGGCCAGGTAATAGTGACAGTAAAAAGGAAAAGGAGGAGGAGGAGGAGGAGGAGGGACAAAATGAAGAATCCGTTGGAGTACAAATGGTGATCGATGAAGTAGATAACATTAATTATGATGAAGAAAATGGTCCAGCTTTATATGGTGAATATAGAAACTGGACTAGTGAAGAAATAACAATCTTCTTGAAATACAATTTAGAATTGTGCTGAACTCCATGAGTTAGGTCTGCTACAGAATAATCAAACAATCCCAAAGAAATGGGATTTAATGAAACATAAGATCAAATGGCTCTTCAATGTATATTTCTGGAAATTGGATCAAATCAAAAAAAAATGTCATTTTAAAAATTCTTGAAAAAAAAAATAACCTTGACTTTATAAGAGATTGATCATAATTTTTCTACATGTTATCATTGATTGACTCAAAAATTTTAACACAAATAATGCATTATGGTGAACTTTTGAAAAAAATTTTAATAACTCTCAAGTAAGTTTTATCTTAAAATAATTTTGGTTTTTTTTTTCACTCCTCACAAGTTAATTATTATTGTTTTATTAAAGTACTGGTCGATTTTTTATGATAAATTGAATTCAATAAAACCTAGGAGTTCAATTTTTCTATTGTTGGTTTCCTCACCAACAAATCAAAATCAAGTTAATAACAAATCATCATCTTCATATATAATCAACAAAGAATCAAACTGCAATCAATACCTGGCCCATTGATGCAAAAAATAAATCAAACATTATCACAACATTATTATCTTCCATGATCTTTAATTTTAATCACAGGTGCAGATAGTGATTTGGAATTTTACTGCTATATCATCATTACCAGTCAGAGTTCAATTCTCAAAAGCAATTGCACAAATTATGACTGGTGACATTTTAAACTGTTTCTTCAACTATATAAAATTAATTTTTATTTATTTATATATAAACAATATAGATTATGGTGACATGATGATTATTATTACTTTCATTATATTCGGATAGTCAATCAATCAATCAGTCAATCAATCAATTATACAATAATAATAATGATAAAATATAGAAATGATAAAAAGGAAGAAATAATAAAATAATAAAAAAGATAATAAGCAAATAACAAAGTTTTAATATATTTTTTAATTGTATTTTTAATATTGTGATAGATCATAAATATCTGTTGTAGCAAAATTTTTTGATAATCTAATAAATAGTAATAACACTCTTATCTATCTATCTATCTATATTTAATTATCAACTTTAACAGTATTTCCAAATATTATAAAAATAAAAAAGTTTAGAAAAATCTATCCACCTCTAACTAACAACATTAAGCTAAAGAGAGAAAATGATTTTAGCTTTAAAAACTTGAAAAGATTAAAAATCATCAATCTTACAATAACCAACCTTTATTGCATCAGAATGACAAGTTGCATGACAAATAACACCATTTATTTCCACAGCATTTCTATACATCCATTCTTCTTCATTATCATTCCAAAACATTTGAAATTTTTCTTTACAAATGGGACAAGGTTTATTAGTTTTTTGAATATCAAGTGGAACAATAACAGTTGATTCACTGATAAGATTGTTAATATCATTTTTATTATTATGATCTATTTTTGCCTTTTTTGATCTAGAAGTTCCACTACCATCACCAATTCCACTTGTTCTTTTGTTTAATTTAAAATTGCTAGTATCACATTCAAAGAATGTTGGTGTATTTCCATTTTGAGAATCTGAATCTCTTGAATTAATAAAATCCTAAAATGTTTTGTTATTATTTTAGTTAATATAATAAAATTTTTTTCAAATTAGAAACCAAAAAATAAAATACAAACCTCCTCAGTGACAAACCAATTTCTACTTTGTGCCTTCCTGGCTTTTTCCTTTATCTTACGATTTTGTCTAAAATGCCAATCCAAATGCTTACCAATCTTTCCTCCTCCATCTTTTGAATCTTTAGCAAATCTAATCCCGCATTGTTTACATTGAGATGGCAATGCATCATAAAGAATTGAAATTACTCCTTCACGTTTACTATTATTATAATTATTAGTAAATGATTATATAATTATTATTATTACAGGTATAATGAGTTATATAATTACAAATATAGTTACCGCTGAAGATCATGATTTGTAAGTTGAATTCTTTCCAATTCATTTACATGTAATATCCCATTATTGGCAGATGGTGGAGAATTATGACGTTGTTGTTGTTGCTGCTGCTGCTGCTGCTGTTGTTTTTGTTGTTGTTTTTGCTGTTGTTTTTGTTGTTGTTGATTATAATTATGATTAGGTGAAATAACACCAGCAGATGTAGTTACTGGTATAGAAGCAGAAGTGACAGGGTTAGTTAATAATGTATTAGGTTGTTGAAGGATTTGATGAAGTTGTGGCATTGACATAACAACATTATGTGGTGGCGAAGGAGTTGATAAATGTTGAGGAGCAACATTATTTAAAAGAGCTGGTAAATTATTGGTTGTAACTGCAGTAGTGGGTAAAGTTGTAGCTGTGGCAATAGATTGCGTTGTTGTAGATGCTGATATTAATATATCAGTATTATTAGCATTAGTAATAATAGTAGTAGTAGGGATAGGAAGAAAAATAAGATCTGTACCAATATTATTATGAGTAAAATTAGCAGTATTACTGGCAGATACAACAGGGATAGAAAGTGGTAGTGGTTGTTGTTGTTGTTGTTGAGGTGGTGGTAATGGTAATAGTGGTGGTGGCGGTGGATAAGTTGTAGTTGGAACTATATTATTATTATTGGCAGCAAGAACAGTTGTTGCAGCATTAGTAGGATGAGGTTGAATAATAGGTGCTGATTGAACAGATTGAATATTTGTTGGATTTGTTATATTGTTGATACCAAGCAACTGTCTGATTTTTTGAATCTCTTCACTTGGAATAGGTTTTTGTTGAATCAATTCACAAAGCTATCACACAGATATATATAATTGTGATTTATTTACAGATCAGGTTATTATAGAAACCCCAATTGTTAAAAAAGAGAGAAAAAATATCATTAATAAAATAATTCAATTGATAATTTATTTATAATATACCACCAATAAGAATAATATGGATCTGGTATTATTTCTAATTAATCTGATAAAATATACAAATCAAAATCAAACCTTTTGTAAGAATATAGTTTGATTTTGATTATTTGTATCTGATGGATTTGTTAAAGCAGTTTGTTGATGTAACAAAATCAATGCTTGACACTCTTGTAATAATTGTTGTTGTTCAGGTGGAGGAATAAACACTTGGTTATGTAAAGGAATTGGTGACTTGTTGACATACTAATGATCATTATATAGATTGATTATATATTATATTATATAAAAAAAAATGATGATATCAAGATCAATAATAGTAATGATAATAATGATAATTAAAAGATAATTATTAAAGTAATGAATTGATGGATTTTGAAAGGATTGCATTAAGGTATGTAATAAATAAAATTATAGAAAGTGGAAAGAAAGATGTGTATATATGTATTTGATTAATTAAATATAGATAGATAGATAAGAGTGTTATTACTATTTATTAGATTATCAAAAAATATTGTTACAACAGATATTTATGATCTATCACAATATTAAAAATACAATCAAAAAAAATATATTAAAACTTTGTTATTTGCTTATTATATTTTTTATTATTTTATTATTCCTTTCTATCATTTTTATATTTTATCATTATTATTATTGTATAATTGATTGATTGACTGATTGATTGACTGTCCGAATGTAATGAGAGCAATAACAATCATCATGTCACCATAATCTATAAATAAATAAAAAATAATTTTATATAGTTGAAGAAACAGGATTCATCATATTTATATAGTACCAATCATAATTTGTACAGTTGCTTTTGAGAATTGAACTCTGACTGGTGATGATGATATAGCAGTAAAAATTCCAAATCATCATCTGTATCTGTGATTATAATTAAAGATTGTGGAAGATGATAATGTTGTGATAATGTTTGGTTTATTCTTTGTGTTAATGGGCCAGATGTTGATTGCAGTTTGATTCTTTGTTGATTATATATGAAGATGATAATTTGTTATTAACTTGATCTTGATTTGTTGAAGAAGAAACCAATGATAGAAAAATTGAACTCCTAGGTTTTATTGAATTCAATTGATTATAAAACATCAACCAATACTTTAATAAAACAATAATAATTAACTTGTGAGGAGTGAAAAAAAGAAACCAAAAATATTTTTAAGATAAAACTTACTTGAGAGTTATTGAAATTTTCTTCAAAAGTTTACCATAGTAATGCACTAAAAAAATTCTTAATCAATTTAATTTAATTTAATTTAATAATTGATCAATTGATGGCTACTTACATCCAATTATCTTCCATCTTCCATTTAATAAAATTTCCATCTTGGCTTGAACCTATGTGACAATTTCTCCTTTAAATGAACACTTTTATTGATAATACTTCAATTATGGCCTTCAAGTTTACCAGCACATTTTCCTGTTATAACATCAAAATCTAACATATATAAATATATAAATAAATATACATATGTATACAACATTGAAAAAATTAATAAATCATTATTTTTTTATTACATAATATATTAATGTTAACCTTTAATGGATTTGGTAATATATAATTATCTTCCTTTTTATATTCCCATTTGTGTCGATCTTTTGATTTTCCCACCAGCAATCAAATGTGTATGAGTAGGTTTAACATAATATCCTTACGCTTAATAATTTGCAAAATTCAAATTAGCCAATCAGAGTTTTATATCCAAACGCCCCTCCCCCCAAAATTTTAAACTTCCAGTTTTTTCTGTCAGAAGTTTTAATTTTATTATTTACACATACAAACTCGATAAGTCGGCCGCATAATTTATATTATCGAGTACAATTGATTACTGCGGGCCGACTTATCGAGTTTGTATGTGTATTTCTGACGATCATTTTACATTTTCAGAAGAAATTTTCACAAGAAAATTTTGTGCTTGGATACAACACAATTAATAATCATTGTGATCGGCATCCAAAAAACTATCCACTAAAAATTTTTTTTCTTTACATTGTGGAAACAAAAAATTATTATTAATATGAGTTTGCCACCTGAACTTCTAACTGAAGTATTCAAATACATTGAAGATGATTATAAAACATTATATTCCTGTATTCTTGTCAACAAGCAATGGCACAATATCAATATTCCAACTTTATGGAGAGATCCACTTTTTTGTGAAGACAGCATCAAAATATTAGTTAATTGTGTATTAGAAGAAGATAAGGATTTTTTAACTAGAAATTGCATTGAATTAACTTTTGAACTATTGGAGAAGCCACCATTATACAATTATGCCAGATTTTGTACTATACTTTTCGAGTATTGTGATTTTCAATGCATGATGAAAGATGGATCATTAAATCTTGTACAAATTTTACAAAATAAATTAGAAAAATTTATTTTAGACCATTCAGCAAATATTAGGAAGCTTAGCACTAATTATATAGATTGTAATTTGTTAATTAATCATCATAGATTTGATAATTGTTTTCAGAATCTTTATGAAATAGCTTATAATTGTAGTTTTTGTAGTGGTGAATTATTTGATAAACTAGCAATTATTTGTAAAAATATTCAATCATTAACAGTATATTGTAGTGATGACAAAAGTATATATAATTTAGCACGGCTAATTAAAGCACAAAAGCAAATTAAATATTTAATTATTGAATCAGAAGCAATGGAACAAATTTTATCAGATGAATTAAAAAAAGCAATATTAACACATTCACAATCAATCATTTTTTATGGATCTCATGGCATTGATGTAGATAATTTTAATAATTTATTATTACCAACTTTTAAAAATTTAAAGACTTTAGAATTATCATCTAATGTTAATAACAATATAATAAGTTGGAAAAATATTTCATTGCCAAATATTGAATCTGTAAGTCTATGTATTTATGGTCAACCATTTCCATCAAACTTGTCTGATATTATTAATATCAATGGAAAAAATCTTAAAAATCTGTATATTGGTGGTTATCCAAATTTAAATGGTTATGAATTTTTAAGAGGGCTATTTCAATCAATTGCACAATCTTGTAAAAATTTAGAAGATTTATCCATATTTTATAAGGATGAATTCAACCAGGAGTTAATGGAAGCACTCAATAATTGTACTAAATTAAAAAGTATTAGATTTGATCATTGTTTTCCTGTTAAAATAGATTGTGGTAAAATATTAACAGTATTAAATGAAACATTACCAAAAAACTTAAAGTCAATAACTTTTACTTATAAGATTTATAATATTAGTAACCATTCTTTGGATATTCTAATGAAGAATTGGAGAGGACCCAAACCTTTAGTAATAAGATTTGATGACGATGATGATTATTATGAAATGTTGCAAGACAGTGATGGAAGTAAAATATTAGAAAAATATCAAGATTTAGGGTTTTTAAAAATTAATAATATTTAAAATTATTTAATAAATATTGTCAGTAGAAGATGATTGAAATTTTATTATTATTCATTTATTTATTATAACTATGTTATAACATAATTTTTTTATAACATAATATATTATATATATTGTGTATATAGTACATTTACTATTACTGTTATTGATGGCGAACATCAATTGGATGGCAAAGAACAGCTGGCTGGCATAGCATTAATTTAATGTTAAAGATGATAGTGGCAAGAGGTGGTTTTTGTCAAATGTAAATTACAGTCTTGATGGTTACTAGTTAACATTTTCTTATAAAAAGAGCTGGAGCCCTTTGATTCTGAATGGATCATTTCCAATATCTAATCATATAAAAATTTAATTTTTCTAGTTATATATATTATCTCTTATTTTTAATTGGTTAGAAATAAAAACTAAAATTTTTTTTTTTCATTTACGTACATTAAAAAAATGAGTTTGCCACCTGGGCTTCTAGCTGAATTATTCAAACACATTAAAGATGATTATAAAACATTATATTCTCTTGCCAACAAACAATGACGCAATATCAATATTCCAACTTTATAAAGAGATCCATGTTATTCTCTTAACAGCAGCATTAAAGTATTAATTAATTGTTTATTGGAAAAAAATTAACTAGAATTAAGCATGTTAGCCGAAATTGCCTCTCTTAATAAAAATAAATGATCATTGCCGAATCCGAAAATAATCACCAAAATCAACTTTATTAGTTGTCGAAATTATATCTGAACACTTTAACTCAATAGCCAAAATTCTCAGTAGTTTTTTTATGTCTATTGATATAAAGAATATTGTAAATCCGAAATTGCTTGCCGAAATTTGATTTTTCCAAAAACCATTTCAGCTAACATCCTTAACTAGAATTGAATTAACTTTGAACTATTAGAGAAACCAACATTTAAGATTACTTGCCAAAACCTTTTAATAACTGCCGAAATTCTGATAAGCAATTAGTGTGTACCCCGCCGAAATTCTGCTGATTGATTTCTAAAGGAGTTTTAGCAAGAAAACATACCACCATTATAAAATTATGCCAGATTTTGTACTATACTTTTCGCACTTTTGTTAATAAAGGAAAGGATAATCAACCTTGATATAGTTTTTGTGGAAGTTGCAAAAGAGATGACGACAGTAATTAATAATGCCTATAAAAAATGTCTTGAAAGCGTTCAAAAGTAAATTGTATGGACCAAACTTTTAAAATGGGTAATGAGAAATTCATCTACAAAAAATATCCACTCTTTTTCCTTTATTATCAATGAAGGTAAATTTGAAATGTTTGTCGCAGCATTTCTATAAAATCCTGATCTTTCTATTAGAGAGTATGAGGATGATTCTTCCTGGTAGTCTTCCTATTAATTAGCATAATTAGTATCTTTGGATATTTGTAATTAAATCGATAAATAAAATTTTTTTCAATTCTTAAATGAAAAATGTCTTTAGTAAATGATGGTATTATTTTAATTAGTAATGATGAAGACGAAGAAACAAATTTGAATTTCCATTACCAACGATAGATCATGCAATGCAATTCACCAAATAAAAAAGCGAAATTTTGACAAAATACGTAAAACCCAGAGAAAGTTTCATTCAGAATCATTTTATTGACGAATGAGGTAACTATTTAATGGATTTATTAGAATGCTTTTGCGAAATGTGATAAACATTATTTTGCTAATATTTGAAACCATTATGAATAAATATTCAAGCATTATGGGTATCTGAACATGGGGTAAAACATACGAATAGGAACACTATTTTCCAGAGCAGTTATGGTGGCAAATATACCAATTCATCATTTGAATCACGGCAAATTTTTTTGTTTCTAGGGAATTGATTTTGAATTGAGGTCATTCAGGGGGGTTTACTACTAAAGCTTCAAACAAACCAACGAAATTTGAATTACCTAATTGTTGTTGATTTGATAAATCCAATGAAAATAAATTCTTTGTTTGGGAATCTTGTTTCAACGAACTATAATTAAATTCGCACACAACCAACGAATTTTAAAAGCATCATAGATGTTGCCAGACATCCAAAATTATATGGCCTCTTTAACTGAAATAAATAAAATAGCACAGTTTATACATCAAAGAATCCGAAATATTGCCAATATATTCGGGAATGCAAAGACAATTTCGGCTAAAATATATCCCCCATTCGTTGAAATACAATTTAAATGTAATTTCTTATGAGTATTTATTTAAAATTTTTAATGATATTCAATTTTAAATTTAAAAATCTGGTTTGATTCATTTCATTCGGAGCCTTAGTTGCTACAGCTTGGAGGCATATGTATTTATGTATGTGATGGCATGTAGATATTTGAGGGCTTTTTCTTTTCTAGCAAACTTGTATTGAGGATAGAATATTTTTCAAACCAACCATCAAGTATCATTTAAGATTTTTCATATATTGGTTCCATTTTTTGATAGATAAATTAAAGATGATAACAATTTATTGTCAGATGGAGGGATTTCAAAATTAAATTTTAATTTGGGTGTGTTGAAATGGGAGTATTTTCATCAATTGTAGACAGATGGAATTTTAAGTTGTTCACCAGGTGGGAGTGGGTGATATTTTTGTAGCAAAGAATTTTATGTAGTTCATTTGACAGAAGAGCACGTTTATAAATTGAAAAGGTGTCGTAATTGGGGATGAAGGAATCTCTTTGGCCATTTGGCCAACGATTCCATTTCCATTAAACGAATTTTTTCCTGATATGTAAAAAGATCAGAATTTAAAAGTCATAAGATCTTTTAAAAACTTGCTGATTTTTTCGATTTTTGGCTGTTCGTATGATTAATTTCTTGCAATAGCTTCACATTTCTTTTTTTTTCTTTCCCGTCAAAAAAAAGAAAATTTATACATATGTTTTTTTTTCTGTTAATATTAAGTAATTTTATTAATAAAGATAATACATGCCATGAAATGTTACAAAAATTTATACATATATTTATTAAAACCAATAACAAAATAGTTATATATAAAATTCATAAAATTAACCAACTGATAAATTTAAAAACCCCAAATCTTGATATTTTTTTAATAAATCAACTGATCCGATATTTGATGAATTTGACAATTCAATTTTAAAAGGTTTAGGTCCTTGCCAATTCTTCATTAAAACTTCCATTGAACTATCAGACATATTAACATCCTCATGATCAAAAGCTATACTATTTAACACTTTTGGTAATGCCAGATTTAAAGCTTTTAAAATTCCATCACCATTAATCGGATTTTCATGCCAATATTTAATAGATCTTAAATTAATACAACTTTTAAGCATAGTAATAAATTGTTGATCAAATTCATCATCATAAAAAATGGATAAATGCTCCAAATTTTGACAATATAGTCCAATTGATTGAAGAAGGTCACCCAAACATTTGCCATCACTTGGTTTACCGCTAACTTTTAAAATTTTAAGACTACTTCCATTAATTTTTATGAATTCTGATAAGTCTGATAGAAATTCCGTAAAATAAAAGTTCAATTCTATAATTTCAATATTTGGGAGCAGAATAGATTTCATATATGTTATATCACCACGACTCCAACTTCCTCTAGACATTCTTAAAATCTTCAAATTATTTAATGTTGGTATTATTATTGAATCCAAATTGTTTATTCCATCACTAGAATAATTAATTATTGATGGTGAATGAACTAAAATTGCTTGTATTAAATCATCTGTTAAAATTAAATTATCAAAGTATGGTTGAATAACTAATTTTCGAATTTTATATTGTGCCTTAATTAGTTGAGCTAGTCTATAGTGAGTATTAAAATTATATGGAGAATATCCGCTACATATTAGTAAAACTTGGATCTTTTTACAAGTACTTGTTAATTTAGTAATAAATTCAGAATCACCATCATTAAAATAATATTTTAATTCATGAAGATTTTGAAAACAAGTAGTATTCCTATGTTCAGTTATAAATTTTTCATAATCAACAATCTCAAGAAGCTTGATGTTTGAATGGTCTAAAATAAAATTAATTAATCTTTCTTTTAAAAATCTAATTTTAACATCACTATCAAAATCAGCTATCAGCATATCTTTATTAATAACTTTCCTCGATCTATGAAAGTCCAATTCAGTTGTAAATTTAGCATAGTTATGCAATGGTGGTTTTGTTAATAGTCGAAAAGCCAATGTAATGTTATTTTTTGTTAAAAACTTTTTATCTTCTTGTAATAAACAATTAATTAATATTAGAATGTTGGTATTCGAATAAAATGGATTCCTCCATAATGTTGAAATATTGATATTATGCCATTGTTTATTGACAAGAATACAAGAGTATAATGATTTATAATCATCTTCAATGTAATTGAATATTTCAATTAAAATTTCAAATTGTAAATTTAATATTGTCATTTTTTTTTAAAAAAAATTCGTGCAACCTAATTTTTATTTCCGGCCAATTAATTTCTACTTTTATCAATGAGTTGGCCTTTCAAAAATGGGTCAACTTTGTGAAAGACCCAAATCCTAGTATTGATGTGTGTCAAGGACAAAATTTACAAAAAATCATTCCATAGATATTCTGGAAATTGATCTTTATCATAATCTCTACTAAATGTTTTGTGATAAATTTTTATTTTAATTTGATTTGCACCAAACAGTGTAAATAATCAAATACCATAATCAGCCTCATTGTGTTTGACAAACACATCATCAATTCACTCATTACAAATCTTTCAATGACCATTGTTTGACACATTATATTCCAGCAAGATCTGCTCCACGTTTTGATTCTAATTAAAATATTTATAATAACTAAAAAGACACCATATTATATCAATGCAAATAAAAAATAGTACTTCTGGTCAATTATTAACATCACTTGCGTTTTGTCATTGGAAAATAAACTGTTTTCCAAAAAAAAAAAACAATAGGGGATTCCATAAATAATTAATGTGTATGATTTGTCAACCAAATAACAATTCTTTTTCTAAATAATAACAAAGTCTGATAGAATCCAAAGAAAAAGAAAAAGAGAAACTGGAAGAAAAGATACATACAAGTAAGTATTTATTGTAAGAATGGTGATAGTGGCTATCACTACTTGTCGATACTCTAGTTAAAATATTATGGTTGGCTCGGTCTAAAAACATCCTATTGCTGCGTCACGCGCTCAAATTTCAAAAACTTGCGATTCCGTGATTCGTTCAAAATGCAATAAAATTTTTATAAAAAGAGTTTCACGTGATTTTGGCTAAAAAATTACTGCCAAATTTAGATATGATGGTCGAGTATTACAGTGAACCCTCTATAAGTGCACCCCCCTCGGGAACATAGTGCTATTTCTTGTGAGCGTGCATTTATGGAGGGTATACATAGTTCGTGCATTTAGGGAGGGTTCACTGCAGTTTAAATTTCGTAATGATATCAAAAACTAGTCTAAATTTAGCAATGATCTTAGCGCTCAGATTTCTCGTGAGCATAGTAAAGTACATGTTTTAAAAAAGAATAGAACTCTACAACAAATAATTTTTTGAGAAAATCTCTTTATTACATTAAAACTAAATACATATTCTATCAATTAATTGAGCTATTTTTTTAAAAGATAAGACAGAAAATGACTTCTATACAGTCAAACCTCGTCACAGCGGACCTCGCCACAGCGGATTTCTTGTTACAACGGATTTAAATATTGGC